TATATATATATATATTTAGTATATAATATTTAATACTATATATATATGTATACTATATATATATATATATATATAATATATATATATATATATATATATATATATATATATATATATGTATACTTATATATTTATATATATACTTTATATATATATATATATATATATATATATATATATATATATATATATATATATATATATATATGTATACTATATATACTATGTATACTTATATATATATATATATAAGTATATATATATATATATAAGTATATATATAATATATATATATATATATATATATATATATATTATACTTATATATATATATATATATATATATATATATATATATATATATATATATATATGTATACATATATGTATCTATATATATATATATATATATATATATATATATATATATATATATATATATATATATATATATATATATATATATATATATATATATATATATATATATAAGTATACATATATATATAGTATACATATTATGTGTATATATATATACATATATATATATATATATATATATTTATATATATATATATATATATATATATATATATATATATATATATATATATATATATATATATGTATATATATATATATGTATATATATATATATATATATATATATGTATATATATATATATATATATATAGATATATATATATATATACATATATATATATATATATATGTATATATATATATATGTATATATATATATATATATATATATATATATATATATATATATATATATATATATATATATATATATATATATATATATATATATATTCATATATATCCTTTTTTGAAATTTGCCCACAGACTTGTCTAAAGGGTGTACATTTGCAAACTAAATGAACCTGGCCTTGTATATATACATAAATTCAACCCTTGGAATTAGGAAAAATGAGGTCCGCAATAATTTTCCGACCTTAATCTTTTAAAGGTTGGCAAAAAAAATTTGGTACATAGGTCTTTTCATAAAACATAGCAAAGAGGTTAGTAAATTTTTGACGACCTCACTGCCAACCTCTTTAAGGTATGCAGTGAGGTCAGCATTGCTGAATGCCGACCCTGATTCCAAGGGTTGTAAATATATATATATATATATATATACAAATAGTATTGCGTACTTTGGTAAGCAATCTGACGTCATACTGAAATAGCCGGCTGCTGGGGGCTTCAGTACATACAACGACTGACAAATAGCCTGACTCGCAGTGAAGTGCTGCTACATCGACTGAGGGTTTGGGATGGGGAAGCAATCGTTTTATTTATCATTCTTCGTTTTTTTCTTCTTCTTTTTCGAAAAAAAACGGTTTACCTTGAAGTAAGCACAAAAAGTGAGCAAATGCTTATCAAATGCTTAGTGTGTATATATATATATATATATATATATATATATATATATATATATATATATATATATATATATATATATATATATATATATATATATATATATATATATATATATATATATATATATATATATATTAGGCTGGATCATAAAAATTAAGTTGTTTTGAGAATTTGGGAAGGGTGGCATGATATAGCATTGTTTACTATTTGCAAAGAAAAACTTTAAAATTTGATTATACTTTGTGTTTTTAAGTTTTTAAATATGCGTATTATTACGTAATTGCGTAATTGTATAACTATAAAAAATGTTTATTTTTATAGTTATTATTACTAGTTTTCGATTTACACATAATTTTGCCTATATTGTGGGACTAATATTTAGTTTATGTGTATTTTGTATGGATTTGTAAATAGTAGTAAGTGTAATAATCTATATCCTTTAGATTATCTAAAAATAGATAATTCTTTAGATTATCTAATTATTTTATTATTTTATTATAAGTCAATCTCAAACTATATATGCAAAATAACGAACAGCAGATATGTCTGCATGACAAAACACACAGTGTACGATACGTGCAAAATCCAAACTATATACTAAATGTTTACTGGGCCCTGACCATTGTCACCCCATTTAGCTGATGCAACATTGCTAAACACAGGTGAATAATCAAACGACCAATTAGCGATTAGAAGGACAGTACAAATATACAGGCCATAGAACACATACAAGAGACATATGTCACGTAGCTATTATGTAAACAATGAACATTCACAACAGTAAAATTCAGGCAATTTTAAACATTATTTTCTATGAATGTTCAGTGTTTAAACTTTAAACTATTAGCTTATGCAAACTTCATAACTGCTTGTAGTTTTATATTTAATTGTAATTTTTTGTCTGTTTTTTGCATTTACAGAAATTTATTCAAAATCTAATCTGTTTTAAAAACTATGAAACAATTATAATGTTATCAAGATCAAACAGGTTGGCAAAGCACTGGTCCATTTGTTTCTTACATCTGAATGAGCTTCCTTTGCTACATCTATTTAGTTCCTTAGATGGTGCAACAACTGGACCACATTCATTTAATGGACCTATTGGCAAATCTATTTCAAAGCTATTGCAGCCACCCATAGTAAACTTTGCTGTTATTGCTGGTGAACCTATTAATTGTGATAAAGATTTATTAAGCAGTGATCAGTTGTACTTTTTTTAAATTGTTAATGCAGTGAAGACAGGGATTGTACCACAGGGATTTAAATCCAGAATGCCTGGGCGGCTAAACCATGCAAGGTGGTTGACACTTGCAAATCATGTTTTGCATCTATATATATCTACTGTAGCTCCATCAAATGAACTTACACTATTGGCTAAATTTATCGGGAATTCTTATGCAGTTGTATGGTTTGAAGTAAAAAAATATTCAAACTGTTGGAATGCCGCACCACACTATTAAAGAATGATAGAAACATCACGATTTCTTCCTGTGCCGTACAGAATTGTGGTTCAGCAAGTTTTGAAGCGTAATAGCTATCCAGCTCATATTGAGAACATTATTCTTGCTATGTTGAAAGACAACCGTCAAGTAATTTGTAGACTTGCTTTGAAAAGAATTCTACATGCACAGGAAGATGACATACCGAATCGTAAACTTCAAATCCCTGAAATTAGACTTCAAGCAACAAGCTATGAAGAGCTAATTGATTGGCAAACTATTCACTGCTTAGAACCCGTTTTGACAAAACACATTTCTATCACACAAATATTGGCCTGGTTTGAGTCAGATAAAGATATTGTTGTTGATATAGAACCATTTCCATGGCAGGATCAAAGTGTTGAATGTTTAATTAAAATTGTCACTGAATCTGCATCTAAGGTTTTTGGTCATGATAGCCGTGATGGCTATATTCGCGTTATTTTGGTGCGCCGAAAATTAATGCCGCACTTTGATACTAAGCCTGAATTCAAACAAATTTAACTAAAATATTATAACTGTTGTTAACTGATAATATAAAAAACACGCATTATTAACATAATTTGTTTTTCTAATAGTATTAAGTGTTCAATAAATAAATGATTCAATAAATGATATGTTACAAAATGGCATTTTCAAGTAAATTTTTAAAGACAAAAATGCAAAGTATAGCAAAGTAGTAGAGAAAAATGGTTTGCAGCAATAGATTCAGTATATTTGAGAACCACTAAATGCATATTCTCTAAGGAATTGATCAAAATTTTTGAAGTTATGATCCGGCCTAATATATATATATATACATATATATATATATATATATATATATATATATATATATATATATATATATATATATATTTGTTGTTATTCACCTCTTCAAGGCGGAGAAGGCCACTACAGACGAGGAGGCACTTAATAGTGGTTATAACTCTCTCTCAACTCTATAACTCCGAAACACGAACCTTGACGAACAAGGTTGCTGCGCGGAGAAACAAGTTGATATATATATATATATATATATATATATATATATATATATATACATAAATATATATATATATATATATATATATATATATTTATATATATATATATATATATATATATATATATATATATATATATATATATATATATATATATATATATATATATATATATATATATATATATATATATACACATATTAGAGTGGTTTAATCCTTTTTTTAATTATACTTCTTTTTATATAGAAAAGTACTACATGTGAAAAGATTGCAAGAAAAATGAGACAAATTGAAAACATTGCAAGTCAGTATGGAATTGACGTTTTCATAAAATCATTTTATGGCATCAAATAGACTCAAAGTTCACTTTTCGAAAAAGTTAAAATTTTATTGTTGTGTTTTAACTTGTAACTTCATTAATTTCTTTTTCATGAATTTAGATAAAAGTTGTGTTACAATAAACGCTGTGTAATATGGAAGCTATAAAACTATATAATTATTTAAACTAATTTTTGTGATTTTTTCTTTTATAGTTTTATAGCTTCAAAACTTATGGTCAGTCCTTCATATAAACACTACCCAATCTCCTTCATATTTTTTCACATAGAAGAAACACTTTTCTCAACAAAAAAAAACCATATAGTCGAAAAAGTTTCAAAAAAGGGAACAAATTACTTTGAGCCCTGTACCTAATCTTAAATATTTTACCCAATACCCATCACATAGATTGGTTTATCTTTTGGCAATAGTCCAGTGCAATGATGCACAACCTTCCAAAACTCTTCTTTTTCTTCACCTCCACTTAATCCACCAATGGCATAGCCTGGCATATTTCTTTTAACCATTTCTAAATTTTCGTATACAAATTTTATAGATTTATGTATAAAAAAATATTTATCATATTTAAATTATTTTTAACACCTTACTTTTATATTATATAACTAAATATATTATCTACCTTAAATTTATCATCTACCTTAAATATATTATCAACCTTTAATATATTATCTACTTTAAATATTATCTATATATATTATCTAAATATATTATCTAACCTTTTATACACTCAGTTCTCAGTTGCAAGTCTAAACCACCCTGAATAATTGGAAATAAATTCTGATATTGTTTGCGCTGATTTGCCATTATACATCTATCAAGCCAACGAATGGATCTATGCATGGCTTCTTTTACACGGTCTCCTTTAATTTTAACATCAACTACATCATCTAGTTGCATCATGATATCAGCACCAATTGCATTTTGAATTTCAATTGATTTTTCAGGAGTAAGCAGAATGTCTTTATTATCATAGGGTGATTTAAATTTAACACCTTCCTTAAATAAAAATGTACAACTTATATTAGGGTATGTCACTTTTTTTTCTTTTTTTTTTTTGTAATTCACCTCCCCAAGGCCAAGAAGGCCACTACAGATGAGGAGGCTACTTGTGGTTATAACCCTCTCTCAACTCTATAACTCCGAAACATGAACCTTGACAAACAAGGCTGCTGTGCTAAGAAACAAGTTAACTTAAGACAAAAATGAGTAAAGAAACTTCTAGCATCAATATTATAGTGCCAATATATATAATAAATAAAAATTGAAAAAAAAAAATTTTTTTTCACCTACGGGGTGTAAAAAAAACTTGTTTTTTTAGATCAGATCGAAAAATCACAAATTTAAAAAAGTCTCAGTGAGTTTAGTTCAATTTCAATGTTCTTTGTGTCTAAAAAATAATAAAAAAATGATAACATGATTGATGTTGAAAAATTGAGATTGCAACAGGGCTGATTATGCCAGAGGATCAGAGGGTCATGTACTCCCCCCCTCCCTCATTTTTTCTATAAAGAATTTTTTTTTTTTAAACTAAGGTTTTGAAGTTTTTAGATATGGAGGACCTTTTTTTAGTAGTTAATAATTGTGCTTCCCCCAACTTTGAGAATTGTGTCGTCGGCAATGTATATTTAGAAATGCTAAGTTCTGAAAAGTTGTGGGTTATTTTTAAACAGTTATTTCTACATTTATTGCATTGTACAGAAGTGTACATTATTGTATACAATTATTAATAAAGTACAAACCTTTTGCTATTTGTTTTATTTTTAAGGAGATTGATTTCTGTAAGAGAACTTAGTGTACAATTAGCAGATTTGGTTCTTCAACAGTGGACGAATGCTCTATTCAAGTTTCCTATGGTAATAAACAAGATATCTTTGGTAAAGAAAATAGTATTAGCCTGGAATAAGTTCAGTGACATTTCTAGAGGAAAAGCAGCCCAAAAAATTGTTTCTACCTGGGAAATCAAATTAGATCAATTGCTTGACATTACATCTTGTAAATGTGAAATCACTTTATGTAATGATAAGTGCTCAAAATTAAATAGTTGTCTAGATTTTGCACATATTCAGTGTACCTGTCCGAGAGAAAAGATTCAAAGAAGTAAACTTATTTGGTTAAAAGCTGAAAAAGAGAAAACTGGGTCACTATCGAAATATTAAATGAGTTGTAAAGATACTAAGGAAACAGATAGACAGGTTTCTAGCTGGAAAAAAAAAGGAAACTGAAAAGAAAGTCAAGTTTAGAAAAAAAAAATTAGAAAAAAAGAAGAGGAAGAAACTTCAAAGAATAAAGATCTTGATGAGCCTTTCATAAGTGATGAAAATTCAAATAGAATAGAAATGGACAATGAACCTGCTTCAAAAGATATCTGGAAACTAAATTTTATGTCTATTAGTAATTAGTAAGCTTCTTTGAGATTTGATATTTCACTAGCTGCAACATTAACATATTATGAGGCATATTATTGTCACTCTGGATGGACCCACCAATTCAAATGTTGGTTTCACTAGACCAATTGGAAAAGCTCTTTCAAAAGTGAACAGTATGGAAAAAATTGATACATTTGAACCTATTTGAATGCAGTTGGAACCATTAATCCAGATCAATGAAAAAATTCTAAGTTCAATGTCAACAGATTCAACTCTCTACTATAATCTGATTACATGTTTGACTACAGGCAAGATGGACCCAAATCTTAAAAAGAAAAAGTGCAATCTTTCCCATATCAGATGGATTACTACTGGAGAAGCTATTATTTTTCTATATATGAGTAACCATGGCTTTACTGATGATGTGCTAAGAAGATTTTAAAATGGGTAATTCAAGTGTATTTTCAGATGTGGTATAAAATGAAAGTGAAACACAGTATTGTTTAGGCCCCGGAACACATAGTAACACTGTTAAGACTGCTAAGAAAACAGGAGGATGAGATAAAAGAAATTGTTACTCTGTACATAAAAAATAGAGCTTATTTTACTCATTCTGAATCTTTGATTTTTTTCCCTTATAGCAAGCTCAAACAAGGAATCTAGGAGGTGTGCTATTAAAACTATCAAAGAGATACAGAAAGGTTCAGAGTATGGAGACACTTGATTCAGGCCAAGGAAGAAGATCCAACTCAATCTGGGAGCTATATCCATAGAAAAACTGATCCAATGCGACAAAGAAGACCTGTGTTTACTTGTCAAATACCTACAAAAGATCTTGAGAATTTCTTAGATATCTTTTGAAGCACCCTTTCACCTAAGCACCCTTTCACCTTTCACCTTTTGAAGCACTTTGCCCTACACACACTGTCTTGTGAAAAAGCGGTAAAAGAGGTGACAGATGCATCTGCATCTGTTTGTGGATTTGAGAGAAGAGATGAATTTGTCAGGGCCAGGATGGCTCATAGACTATTAATGCCTAAGCTGCATTCTAAAAAAGATTTAAGAAACATTTTTTTTAAAGACACTTGAATTTGATTATTTATACTGTAAACATAGATTATCCTAGTCATATTTTAAAAATCCAAAAAATGGTTTGGAAAAAATATCCGGAAAAAATCCGGATATTTTTTCCAAACCATTTTTGGTTTTCCCTTATTTTCTTTTTAATTTTGCTTTTAATTAAGTTGTTTCTAATTTTTTTTTATACTTTTCATAATTTTTTTTTTTTAGTGATGAGTGAAAAAGTTTAAAAAATAAATATATTACAAAAATATATACCTCAACAAGCATGTATTGAAAATACTTTGGATATCCAGAAAAACTAAAAGTTTAAAAAAATATCCGGAATTCTGGAAATATCCGGAAAAAGATAATCCCTGTGTAAATATATGTTTCAACATGAATACTTTGCCAAACAAATAGTTAATCTTAAGATTAACTATTTGTTTGGCAAAGATAAACTATTTGTTTGTCATTTGTTTTTTTCTTTTTCATATCTGTTTAGATACAAATAACATAAAAATCGAACTAAAAGTTATTTATTTTTAAGATGTCAATTTTATGATCTGACATTTTAAAAATAAACAAGTTCCCTGGTAGGTAGAACTTTTTTTTTTCTTGAATTTTTTTATTACTTAATATTACTTGAAATTTCTAAAAAATAAAAAAAAAGTCTTGAGGATACCCCCTGGGCTCCCAGTCGACATCAGCCTTATTTTAATCTTGATTTTTTGACGCCAATCACTTCCCAGCTTTTTTCATGTGTTATACACAAATAACATTAAATTGAAGTTCACTGAGATTTAAATTTTTTTAATTCAGAAATTTTACGATCTGATAGATATTTTACGATTTTATGATGACAAAAAAACCAGCTCCCCAGTAGGTAAAAAAAAAAATTTTTCAATTTTTTATTTATCATATATATTGGCACTATAATATTGATGCTAGAAGATTCCTTGTTCATTTTTGTTTTAAGCAACATATTCTAACTTATATGTGTATAAAATTTTTTTTTATGTTAAAAAATAAATAATTACAAGAAGAGACAACTCTATAAACAGTTTAAGTTGTTTTTAACAACACATTGTTTTCATAAGTTACTAAAAATATTGTTCTGAAAATAATCTACTATTATCAAAATAGTTTTAAAAATAACATATGTAGGTGTTATGATGTAGGTCTTATCAAAGACCTTGTATGTAGGTCTTCTCAAAGAATTAGTAAAGTGTAGTTCTTATCAAAGACCTACACTTTACTAATTCAAGTAGCTAGCTTTTGATATCCAGGCTTAAAGATTGGAATATGTTGGATAAAAATGTGAGAGTAACAGACTGTTTTTTGAGACTGGTTTTTTAAAGGCTGTTAATATCACATGTTAAGAACTAGTCAATATTTGTTAAATATCAGATTACAAAGTTTACCAAAAAGCAAAGTTGATTTCAGCTTCAACTTTTGTACAAAATTTGAAATAGAAATTTGGCTTTCAGTTAAATTCAGTAACAATTACAAAACTTCATTTAACTTGCAATTAAATTTGAAAGTCATTAATTTTTATCAATTTCATTTTTATCAGAATCATTAACTTAAAAGCCTTTTTTTAAACACAAAATTTTATTTATTACTTATTAAATCTTAATAATCGCTTTCAAAAAAACCTAGATAAAATTAAAAAGTACATTTAGCATAATATTCTTCAGTTTTTACCCTTTATAAAATTAGTATTCAAGATTTTTCAATGAACGTTGTTAATGTACTTTTTTGTTAATGTTCTATTAAAAACTTTATTAGTTAGTAAAGTAAATAACTAGATTTCTCATTATTGCTGCAATTTTAGATTTTGAATATTTCTTTTAGACACATAATGTTCTTGTTATTTAATGTGTTTTGAAATATGATAAATCACTTGCTATTTAAAAAATAATAATTTTGGTTTATAAAAAGACATTCAAAAATTATAAAAAGAGATTCATAAAAGTAATAAGTTTACATAAAACATGTTTAATTTTTTTACAAAAAAGTTTGTCATGTGGTTTTTATTTTATTTAAAAAAAGTTTAGCTATTTGAAAAATAATAATTTTGGTTTATAAAAAATAAGCTTATATATAACGTTATATATAATTTTTTGACAAACCTGACAAAAGTTTGTTGTGTGGTTTTTATTTTATTTTTTATTATTCAAGTTTCTTAATTTTTGTTACTTGATGAAAATATTGATTAATAATATTGTAAACATAAATAATATTTTTTTAAATTTATATTATCAATCAAAATAGTCTAAACATATATGTAACCTAATGAATGATGCCTATTTAATGAGTATTATCAGAGGAGCAAAGTGAGCTCTTTTATCTAGATATACTAAACTTTGAACACCATTATTATTACTATTATGGATAGTACTTAGAAATATGGTAGGGGAATACATATAGGGGCTACTCCATGAATGTGATATACAGTAAATTCACAAATCTAGGAAATCTAGAAAAAAGGACAAATTGTGCTACATAATACAAACTTAGCTTTTATATGCACCAGCAATTATGGAGTTAAAAGTTCATTTTGTTTTATGTCAATACACAAAATTGATTTCTTTAAAAATTTAATCCAAAATTGTGTCATTAAATTTAATCTATATCAACATTTCATATCAAATATCATTTCACCAAACTTTATATCTAATTATTAAACAACTAGATCAATTCAGACAACCAGATCCTGACTTGCAACCAGATCCTCCCAAACTGAAGGTGACTTAATAAGACAACATAAAATTGAGTTTACAACAAGAACTCATTTTTTTTTTAAACATTTTTTTAAACTGTTTCAAAAAATGAAGAGCATTAATGACTGCTTTAAAAGTTTCAAATATACATTTGATTGACAAAACAAACACACATTTAACAATCTTAAAATTCTCTAAAAACGTTCTGATTTATTTATGATATTGATTGATCATAAAAACTTGTTTTTTAATGAATGCTTTAAATTATGTTTGAGATTTATGTAATATATTAGAATCAAATAATAGTTAAAACAACAGTAAAACAAAGCGGCAGAGTTCTTTGTATGATTGGTTTTAGGTATGGTTCTATTTATAATTAAGTTGGTATTATGCATAATGGAATGGTTTTAATGTATGAGGTGAATGTTTAAGTGCTTGATGTAGTTAAATAAAAATTAAATAAAAAGAACAAAAACAATAACAAATATTATATTAAAAAATTGCAACGTATAAAAAATATTGCAACATACTTCACTGACTTCTGATAACTCTATTAATGATACCATTTGAAAACCTCCACTATCCTAAATGTGTTACAAATAGGTAAGAATTATAGCTGTAATTTTAATTCAAAGTAAAATAATGTTTGTGCAATTATTAAACACTTCATATGTATTTTATAAGCGTCCTATCAATAATATAATTTTGAAACAATATGCATGAGGATTTTAAATAAAGTCTTTAAACATTTTAAATAAAGTCTTAAAACATTTTAAATAAAGTCTTTAAACATTTTATATTTATAAACAACTAGGCAATTACTCACTCTGCATGGCTGTTGCCCACTCTGCGCGGCTGTTACCCACTCTGCATGGCTGCTCATCAAAGAAGCAAAGAACTTTTTAATTTCTTGGCAACAATTTTTGTGTTTAAAATTAAAGTGTTTAAAATTGAACAACAACATTTTGTTTGTTATTTTAATTAGAGTGCTACAGCTAATCACATTGTTGGTTTTAATTTCTAATTTATCTTCAACTTTAAAACTGATTTGAAAAAAATTTAATATTTCTTTCAATATGATTGTATTATTCTATTTTATGAGATATTTTACTAATAATTTGATTCCTTTAAATTATTTTTAATTTTCATTTTGATTTCCTGTATGTTTTTGTTATATATTATAGCCATTATTATTAAAGTTGTAGCAATCCCAGCAACAATAGCTGCTGCACCATCCTTATCTGTAACTGGTAAATAAAAGATTTGCAGGTTTTATAAATAAGTATAAAACTAAAAATATCATTCAGCTCTTTCGATTGTTACTTTTTTATTTTTAGGTTATTCTTATAAAGTGTTTGTACGCTAGTAAGATGTTAATGAGAGCCCACATCCTATAGTACACATAGGGTGTTGGAAAAAGAGAATACTCTTGCTAAAAGTGGGTGGAGTTAAAGCAAGAAGGGGAAAATAACTTCATCTACAAAAAGAAGGTGTAATTAAATGTTTTTAGTTTAATATGTATATTTTCATCAACCTTTTTTGCTAAATTTTGCTTATAAACAAGTACCAATTTTGTTTCTTTTTTTTTTTTTTAATATTAAGTTATGTTTATAAAAAATTGTTAGTTAAAAAAGGTGTACATTCTGTTTCTACACTAAACACCATCAAAATTTCAGTCAGCTGAACATGCAAAAGGTGTACATTCTGTTTCTACACTAAACACCATCAGAACATGCAAAATATTAAAACGCTGTTGTGATGGTGTTTATGATTTCTCCATCAGAATAATAAATGTAATAATAATAAATGTCAGAATAATATTTTATTGTCAGTTTAGATTTTGTGATTACTTTAAATTGTATTTAATAATTTTCATAATAATCAACAATCACTGAATTAGGGGGTAACTAAATCACTGAATTAGGGGGTAGCTAATAAGCACCTACAATAAATTTGTGAAAGAACTTTTGCACTGTGTATGTTCTTTTTTGATGTGTCCTTATCTATTCATAAAACATAAATTTTTTTTGATTAAAAGAATCTTTTTTTTTTTTAAAAGTAAACATTCTACTATATCCTTTTTATTTTATTGTTTGTTTTTCTAATCTTACCTTTATTATCTCATGATGGTAGAGTTATTTGTCAAGTTTAACTGAAAATATTTTAAATTTAGCTTAGTTCTTTAGTTAACTTTGGTGCTCTACGAACTATCATTAGTTTACTTTGTCTACTGTTAAAATTTTTAACTTGGTAAACTTTAATTATTTAAAACTTACAATCATTAGCTAATAGTTTAAAAAGAAATTAGTTTGTCTCAATCAAGGTAAGAATAATATTATTTTTTGGTAAAATTATAAAATTTGTTTGCACTGATAGCTTTTAGGTTTTTGTTGTTTTGTGTAATTGACTATGCAATAAAGGTTTTTCATTTCAGATTTTGACTATTTTTAAAAGCTCTGGAAAAACCATCAGCAACATGTAAATTGGTTTGCAGTGTTTATATGATTTTACTTCTTTTATCAAGTGGTAATTTTTTATTTTAGACATATCTTACTATGCTTTTTTAGCATATTGCAGAACAAATAGAGGGCCTGCATCTCATAAGGAGTGGGCTCAATTTTAGGGCAAAAGCCCCCCCCCCTTCCCATTAAAATAAAGTATAAGAAGTGAAAATTGGTAGGCAAATAATATGCTGCATCTATAATTTGTATAGTATATAATATCAGTTTGTAGTTGGTTAATCTACAAATTGATAATGCAAATTTAGTTAAATTTTTTTTATAAATATATACTTTTCTTTTGTTATTATGTATAAATAAATTGATTTCCAATTAATACATTTAATGTTTTTTTTTTCCTTTTTTAATTTGATTACTTTTTTTAGATTAATCAGATGATGTGTTTGTTCAATATAGACATACAATTGAAAACTATTGAAAATTATTATGTTTTGTTAATTTGTTAATAAATGTGTAGATAAAAATATCTTTAATTTTACAAAGCTAATAGGCATTTTTTTGAAACCACAACCCTTAATGATTCGTATTTTATCTATGCAAACGAAAGTCTATGCAAACGAAAGTCTATGTAAACGAAAGTCTATGCAAACGAAAATCTATGCAAACGAAAGTCTATGCAAACGAAAGTCTATGCAAACGAAAGTCTATGCATGTAAACTACAAGTTATGTAAATTTTTAAAAATCAAATTTTACAGATTTACTTTAGCTTGAAAATTTCATTGCAGCATTATCTCCTTTATTTTGGTTTATAGCATTTATATGCTGTTTTGTAAATAAATAATAAGTCTTGTTTATTAAACAGTGTTAAAAGATGATATTATAGCATGCCAAAGTGGTTGAAGAGCTTCGGGTGGGTTCAAATCCTTTGGTTTACACACTTATTTTATTTTTTCCAATTTTCTATAATAAAAATTTTTCAAGACCTATAAATATTATATGTTTAACATATATAGAGATATTATATACTATAACAAACGAAAGGGAGAGAGTTTTTTAAAAAGCTTTTTCAAACTTTTAAAAAGAATGTCATGATAGAGATACTTAAGTTATTAATGTTCTTGATAATTAGTTATCATCAAATTATTTAAATAACATATATTATTTATATTATACTATGTCTAAAGCTACTAGAGGTATTAATATATCTAAATTTATATTCTAAATCAAGTTAATAATATTCTAATTTTATCTAGCTGTAATACTTATTCTCCTGTGTAAAGTATTTAAATCTCTTTTATCTTACTATTATTTCTTTATAACTGATCATTCCTCAGTATTTAAAATAGCAACCATTTCTAGATTAACATTTCTTAGTTTTAATCTCTCAGTTTCTTTATAAACATATAGTAGATATCTTTATTTAATTATTTTTTCTCTATACTTTGTTTAAGCATAATAAGTCATGTTAATAAGGAATCTTTGTAAATTCTGCAATAAAACAGTGGTTGATAGCCATAAAGGAATTCTATGTAATTACTGCTCTTCTTGGTTGCACCCTAAATGTAATTATATTAACAAACACACCTATAGTCTTATTGAAAAAGATTCTACTGACTGGTATTGCAGTGACTGCATCAACAAAAATTTGCCATTTTGTTCACTTTCTGATTTTGAGCTCTCTTTAACTTTATCGTCTCAGACTATACCAACCAATAATTTAAAATCTCTAAAATCTCCACCTCACTTCAAAAAATATTCAATAATATAAACAAAATCTCCAACAAAAGTATTAACTGTAAATATTATGACATTCTTGAACTTAATAAAGTTCTTAATAATAATTGTAATTTATACCTACATCTAAACATTGCTTCGCTCCCTTATCACATTGACAGTCTTCACAGTCTAATAAGCTCTCTTACCACTCTTCCAATAGTAATTGGTATCTCTGAATCAAGACTAAATATTAACGATTCCAGTAAAACTGATGTTAATATAAATGGTTTTACTATTGAGCATTGTCCTACTGAGGCCAAAAAAGGTGGTGCTCTTCTATATTTACGCTCAAACTTAAACTATTTTATTCGTAGTGATCTAATAGTATACTCTCCGAAATACCTGGAATCTATCTTTATTGAAATCGTCAATCCCCTAAAACAAAATATTATTGTTGGCACTATATATCAACATCCATAAATGAACTCTAATGAATTTATTACTGATCATTTTAATCCCTTGCTTGAGAGGCTTAGTTTAGAAAATAAACAAGTTGTCCTTATGGGTGATTTCAAATGGACTTGTTAAATTATAATGAATCGAAAGTTATTTCTAGTTATCTTGATACATTATGTTCTTATTCTTTTTTCCCTTCTATAATTCAACCTACACGTATAACTACTACATCTAAGACACTCATTGATAATATCTTTTTAAATTTCCAAACTCCTGATTTAATTTCAGGCAATCTTACAATATCGATTTCTGATCATATGGCGCAGTTTATCTGCATTCCTTGTCCTTCTCCCAAAAAAACTAAGGAGGTAATATACAGTCGAACCTTCCAAAATTTCGATAATAAAAAATTTATTAAGGATATCTCTAATGCAGACTGGCAAATACAAATTACAAATAACAATAATGTAAATGAATCATTGCACTATTTTTTTAAAACTTTTAACAAAATTCTTGATCAACATGCACCCTATAAAAAACTAACTGCTAAACAAATTAAACTTAAATCAAAACCTTGGATCACCAATGGAATTCTAAAATCAATATCTATTAAAAACAAACTGTATAAACAATATATAAAAGCAAAAAATCATAACATTAAAATTCATATTTTTAATAAATTTAAATGGTACAGAAATAACATTTGCAATTTACTAAAACTTTCTAAAAAATCATATTACATCAACTTTTTTAACAATAATCTTTACAATGTAAAAAATACTTGGAAAGGTATAAAAGAAATTATTAATATCAAACCTTCTTCCTTTTCCAGTAAATCTATTAATCTCAAATTTAATGGCAATACAATTTCAGACAGCAAAGCTGTATCAAACATATTTAATAATTACTTTGTAAATACTCAACAAACACTGTTAACAAAAATTGTTTCACCTAAATGTAATTTTTCAGACTATTTAAATAACCCAAATGTTAACTCCTTTTTATAGATCCAGTCACTGAAAATGAAGTATCAAATCTTATAAAAAGTTTACAAAGTAAAAAAAGTTTAGGTATCAATAGTATTCCCACGTTTCTTCTCAAACTTGTTTCCCATATCATCTCAAAGCCTCTCTGTACAATGATAAATAGCTCTTTTGAAAATGGACTTTTTCCAGATGTCTTTAAAATAGCTAAAGTTATTCCACTTTATAAAAAAAGATCTAGAACTGACCACACTAACTATCGCCCAATTTCGCTACAGTCAAACATCAGTAAAATATTTGAAAAAGCTATGCACAACAGACTTTACAACTTTTTAGATAAATATCAATGTCTTTACAAACACCAATATGGGTTTCGAAGCAAGCATTCCACAACTTATGCACTCATTGAAATCACTGAGGTTATCAGAAAAGCTCTTGACAATAAGCTTTTTGCTTGTGGTGTGTTTGTTGATCTACAGAAAGCATTTGACACTGTTGATCATTCTATTCTTCTAAGTAAACTGGAATACTATGGTATTAGAGGAATTTCTCTCCAATGGTTTACCTCATATCTTTATAATAGGTTTCAATTTGTATCTATTAATGGTAACACATCTTCTTTAGTAAAATGCACTACAGGTGTACCTCAAGGCTCTGTATTAGGACCATTGCTTTTCCTTGTTTATATTTATATAAACAAGGAAAAGCAATTTTCCTAAGTTATATATTTTAATGATAAATTAACGATCTTAATTTATCATTAAAATATATAACTTCCTACCATTTTGCTGATGACACTAACTTACTTTTAATTAACAAATCATTAAAAAAAATAAACAAATATATTAATCATGATCTATCTAATCTAATTAAATGGCTTCGATCTAACAAACTGTCTCTGAATACTAGTAAAACTGAAATTATCATCTTTAAATCAAAACAATCTAAAATCAGTAAACACCTAAATTTTAGGCTGAGTGGTCAAAAAATCAATCCAGTTATGTACCTAAAGTATCTTGGAATCAAAATTGATTCAAATTTAACTTTTTCTCAACATCTTAAGGACTTGTCAATAAAACTATGTAGATCGAATGGGATGTTAGCTAAAATGCGTCATTATGTCAATCTTGAAACTCTTATCAATATATACCATGCCATTTTTGGATCACATCTTAGGTATGCATGTCAAGTTTGGGGACAAATCCGCACCCAAGAAATTTTAAGATTATCCAACTTACAAAACAAAGCATTAAAAATAATATATTTTCAGCATTATCAATCTAACTCCGATCATCTTTATTTTTTATCCAAAATACTCAAAATTGATGATCTAGTTTAACTATTAAATTGCCATTTTGTCTTTAATTATAAACAAAAATGTCTACCCAGCACATTGACAAATTTTTTTACTGTTAGAGAAAGCTGTCGCTATCATCTACGATCTGCTAATAGCTATAATCTTCATGTACCAAATCATTCTTCTGTAAAATATGGTCTAAAATCCATAAAATACCAAAGTGTAAAATCATGGAACAGTCTAACCTTCGCCATTAAAATCAATTGACTCAATTACTAATTTCAAAAACTGTCTTTTTAACTATTTTTTAGCAAGATATTATACCTGAAGCCTCTGAAATATGTTGTTATGCTTTTATTATTACTACTCTCTTGATACCTACTAGTTTTATTATTAACTTTTTGTTCTCATATTTTTATTGTTATTATTAGTATTGATATTAATAATATTCTTCTATCTTTACTAGTAAATTGTTATTTTTATTTATAACATAATAAGTATTATTATTGCTTTTTTTAATTTTTTCTTAAGTTTATTTACTACTTATATTATGTAATTGTTTTTATCACTATTATTGCTATTATCTAATATTGATTGTATAATATCATTATTATTATTGTTAGTATTGTTACTAATAATATTCCTCTTCATCGTGATCTTATTATTATAGTTAATATTATTTCTATAATTATTATCAATACTATTATTATTGTTATTATGATCACTTTTATTGTAATGTTGCAGGTTTTTACTTTAGATTAGTACTTGTACTATTTGTAAAAGTCCTTGAGATTTTACAACTAATTTCAGAATATATATATTGAATTGAATTGAATTGAAAATTGTAAGACTGCGCATTAAAGAGACAACTTTCTTTCTTATAGAAAAATTTTTTTACATGCAAACTTGAATTTTATTTAAAATTAACGGGGCTAGAGTCCTAATAAGATTTTTTATTTTTTATTATTCACCTCCCCAAGGCCCGAGGGGGCCCACTACAGTCGAGGAGGCTATTCATTTTTTTTTTTTTTTTTAATTTTTTTTATTTTTTTTTTTGTTGTAAATCGTGGTACAACCCTCTCTCAACTCTTTAACTCCGAAACACAAACCTTGACAAACAAGGCAGCTGCGCGGAGAAATTAAGTTGAGTGCTGTATTTCCAGGGACATGGTGGGAATCAAACTCCGAACCTCTCACTTACAAAGCGAGCACTCTTACTACTACACCACTACCGCATAGAGTCGCAAATGAATTTAATGAAGAGTGTCAAAAATAGAAAAAAGGAATAATGTACTAAAGGAGTTTAATGAATAGTTACAAAAATAAAAAAATAATTACTATAAATGTGTTTAGATAACATGTCTGATGTCATACTGAAATAGCCTGCTGCTAGGGGCTTCAGTACATACACCAACTATCATATAGCCTGCTGCCGCAAAGGAGTGCCGCTACATCCACTGAGGGTTTAGGATTTGGTAGCAATCTTTTCTTTCATTATTCTTAGTTTGTTTTTTTCTGTAAAAGCTGTATGCTATAAAGGTAAGCAAAACAAGAAAGCATTTGCTGAAATTAATTATTTGTGTTTTTTTAAATTAAATTAAAACTTTTTTTTCATAGCTTTAAAAAGTAAACAAAACAATATAGTTTTTCAATATGTATATAGTTATTTTTTAAAACTTATTAAAAAATATTGAAGTATGGAATAAGTTTAGAAAAGGACCGTGTGGTATGATTAACATAAAATGTGGGTCTTGGTACCATGTACCAAGACCCGCATTTTACAGGTCATGAGAGCTAGTATAATTTTATATTGCAAGTATTACATGCAATATTACATGCAAGCTGCAATAGTTAATAACTAAATTTTTAGAGTTTTTAAACCTCTTTACCTATTCTCCTCTAAATTATCTTTAACCTGTTCACTCAGTCAAATTTTTATAGTAAGAATCATGATGACTTAATTTGTAAATATTGGATGAAAATCTTTGTGTTGTTATAAATGAAGATGATAAAAGTGCTATATATCGAAAAGGGGTCTTAAATTTTGGTTGCACAGCCTTATTAGTAATATAAAATGAAACCTCATCTTTCTTATTATTTGGTTAATAATTTGAAAAATCAGTAGTATTTATGTCATGAAAGGTGTGGTCTCATTTAAGTTAGGATGTAAGAAAAAAAAATTACTTCTTAACTATGCTTCACTTGCCAAAATATATACATATAAAAAATGCCTGGTTTCCTAAACCCTAAGACAATCTATGCACTGAAACCCCAACTTATTTAATTTTGATAAGATAACATTTGTATTATGATCAGGTCTGCACATATATTTGAAAACTATAAGTTTTTAAAATGCTGATTTAAACCCAGGCAGTTTTTCAGAAAAAGATAAAAAAAGTTCTTTTTTTTTTTTAAATAGTTTTTTTTTTTTAATGTTAATTAACCTCCGTTAGCCAAGAAGACCACTACAGTCAAGGAACAAGTTGAATGCGGTACTACCAGAGACATGGTGAGAGACTCATCATTTATATTGATACAATTTATATCGCGATACAAACATTTATATCAAGATAGTACCTGCCCAAACCATAATTTATATCACAATTTAATGTAACCCTTCTATTTTAATTTCACTAATTTTTTTTTGAATTTAATAAAACTTTTAAGCATTAGTACAAATAAATAAAAATATAAAAAAAAAAAAACATAACAAAATAATTGGTTATCCATATCACTAACATGACAACTTGTAAAAACCTGCCAAGAACCGGACAACTTTTTTACTTATTGAGTTTTTAACAACTACATAGATAATCAAGGTCATATAAAAATCTGAAAAAATGATCCAAAAAAATCCAAAATAATTTTCCTTTATTTTCCTCTCAATGTTGCTTTAAGCTGAGTTGTTTCCAATTTTTTTTCAAACTTTTTTAACATTTTTGTATTAGCGATGAGTGAGAAAACTTAAAAAAACAAATATATTACAAAACTATATGCTTAAACTTGTATGTACAAGTAACTTACAGTAAGCAAAGCTCTATTCATATCATAAAATTATTCTTACAGTAAGCAAAGCCCTATTCATATCATAAAGTTATTCTTACAGTAAGCAAAGCTCTATTCCATCCCATAAAGTTATGCAGTCTATCCGCTTTCAATAGAAGCTCGGCTCCCTAAAATAAAATTTAAATAAGTTCATATATACATTACATTTCATTTCTGATTTTGTTAACTGACGCAGGTGCAATAAGAGATTTTTCTGACATTTTTTAATTACTAAGTGAAAATCTTGTGTGGGTTTTACTCTTGAGTTAAAATCTAATTTAGTTTTTTTTCCACATAGTAAATATAAAAACCCTAAAACACTTATTTTTTACTCCTTACACTAAATTTTCAAACATATTTAGTTATTTTATATATATATATATACATATATATATATATATATATATATATATATATATATATATATATATATATATATATATATATATATATATATATATATATATATATATATAAATGAATATTTTTAAAAGTAGGTCAACCTGGTACTCAAATGAAGCGAAATTATATAAAAATTTCAAAAATAATTATTTTGAAAAAAAATAATTTTTTTAGGTTTTATTGCATAAAAAATACTATTTTTTAACAAAAAATGAAAAAAGTGCATTTTTTAAAGTTTTTTATGATAATTTTAATAAGTTGAAAATATTTTTGAAATTTTTATATAATTTCGCTTCATTTGAGTACCAGGTTGAACTATTTTGAAAAAAATTTTTTTTGTTTAATATTAGGGACCCGTTTAATATCAAGGGTCTTGGGGGACTCCTTAAAATATTTTTTATTTAAAAAAATTTTAAACCTAGTGTCATTTTATTATTTTGCAAACATTTAGAGGTTGTGTTTTTTGAAAAAAAAGTTGAAAAAAAAAACACCCAAACATATATATATATATATATATATATATATATATATATATATATATATATATATATATATATATATATATATATATATATATATATATATATATATATATATATATATATATATATATATATATATATTAAATAACTACAATCCAAATGATCTTACAAGTACTCATCACTCTCAAACAAAAACTTTGTACAACAACAGAATCAAAGAATTAAACGTCCATGTTATAAGATGCTAAACAAGACTTCTCAGAAACAGCCACATATACATTATTTTATTTTCATTGAGTTAAAAAACAAGTCTACAAAATTTAAACCAATTTTATTACTTCATCAAAGGTAAGCAGTTCTTCCTGTTAACTTAGATTGCAATTTAGTTAAGTTTAATAAAAATGACACTCTTATTAATGATGATTCTTTTAACAAAAAATAGTTCCACAACCTTTTTATGCAATGTATGTATGTATATTTATTCAGTTATCAATAATTACTATTTACAAATTAAATAAAATAGTGCATAATAACAATAGTTTGTGTTCATTAATTTGAACACAAACTATTTTTAGTACAATAATCAATTTTGTGGTTCAATGCTGGATTTTAAGTAGTATACAAGAAAGGCCAAAGATTTAAACCACGATTCCTTAACCCTTTTTAAATTTCTCTAGAATTTCCCTATTTCCAGCTGCAGCTGCATTTGCTATTGTTTGCATTCATCTTTACCTCTATAGCTAAGTCCGGTAAACTGTTAATGTAGTGCACAAAAAGGAGCTGTCCTAAAACTGAACCCTGATGTACTCCACTAAGTATGTTTCTTCATTGATATAGTGTATTATTTATTTTGACATGTTGTTTTCTAGTGGTCAACCAATTTGTAATTCGAATTGGTTGACCAAAAACCCTGATTGATGGCATTTGTAAAAATATCCTGTAATTCTAACAGGTTTGTCATGCACCCCCCTATGTTTGACAAAGCCATGCTGAGCTAGTGAAATAAGGTTGTTTTCACACAATGTTGCATAATACAATTATGAATCAAACCTGTTAATAATTTACAAGGTACCAAGGTTTTGGAAACTGGCCGATAGTTGCTTGCCTTTAGCTTACTTCCTTTTTTGAATATTGGAGTTACTTCAAAATTTGTTTTTGACTATTTTATAAGTGATGAAACCAACCCTGTTGTCGAAAGTGGCCGAAGACCATTAAAAAATGAGATAGCGATCCTTGATAAAAAATAATCATTGAGTGTTGTATGTATTTTAGGTATGTTATCAGTCACCGATCCACTACTGTCTTTAAGTAAGTGAATTTTATCATTTTATCATTATCAACTTTGATTTTGCTTTGCAAATAAGAATTCAATCCTTTAGGGTTATGTTTAAACGAAGCAGTTTGTGCATCTTCTTAGTCTAGTTTTGTTTTTTTCACTAATTTTATGATGGTTTTGATTGCTTTTTTGTATTCTGTTTAATAAGCTAGCGTGAACCTGGTCCTGCTGACACATATTTACCCCAGAGTTTACTCTTTTACAGCTCCCATAAACTCATTAGTAACCCATGGTTTTTTTTGGCTGGTATGGTTTTATAGTACTTTGTATATAGAATGAGGCAGCTTCATTATACTTGTTAAAATTAAAAGTTTGTATTTTTCAGCTTCAGATACACTTTTAAATAATGCCTCCCAGTCATAACTTCTAATATAATCTATATATAATATAATAATAACTCTATAAAATCTATATAATTGAGATAGAAAGGAAGTTTGCCTTACTCCACACTTTTTTTTGGAAGTTTTTGGAGGTTTATTGTATATATATATATATATATATATATATATATATATATATATATATATATATATATATATATATATATATATATATATATAAAATACAGTGTATATAAATACAATTGAACCTACAATAGTTAGGTGAGGTTGTTCTTCCGAGGTAGACCCCAAAGGTCCAGCTTGAGTTAAGAAATTTAATGAATGACTCGTTGGTAATAATTAAAAAAGAAAAGATACAAAATGATGATACAAAAAAAAAGTAATCTGTGCCGTACTGAATTATAGATTCTAAGTGTCAAGCACAAATAACTGTACTTTGTAAGATCAGAGTTAAAATTCTTTAAGGTAGACTGGAAACTGGCATCAGTGGTTCTAATTTTTAAAAACTCTGGAGAACATTCAGACCCTTCCAACTATCAATTAGTTTTCTCTCTATTATTAGCAAAGTCTTTGCGTATTTGATAAACAAATTTCTAACATCTCATCTTGAGTCTAACAACATACCCTCTGACAATCAAAATGGTTTTTGATTTTTTTATTCTATGGCTTCCATGCTAGTTGCTGTGACTGAAAGATTCTGACTATAATTGCGAGGGCTAGGGGGTATTGCTTTTGACATATCTAAAGCTTTCAATAAAGTTTAAGATGACCTCCATAACTTCACTTCTCCATAAACTTGTTTCATATGGTCTGGAAAATCTGGGAAAATTTTGAAAATATCAAATCATTTCTTTCTAACAGGCTGTCAAGCAGCAACTTTCGAAAAAAATGACAAAAAATGATGGTATTTTGAGAATAAAAATGACAAAAAATGACTGATTTCATCATAAAAATGAAAAGTTCAATAATTTTATTTTGAAAATAACAAACAAAATAACAAACAAAATCATCCGCCATCAATAATTTCTTTTAAAAATGAAAACCTCAACATCTTTTTGTTGTTTAACACAGAATAAAACGTTTTTTCTAAAGTCTAAAATAATTAACATAAATAAATAAATTTTGCTAAATAATTATAACTGAACTAACAGTTCAAGCTCTTTTATATTTACAAAAACTTTCAAACTTTTAACGACTACTTTAACTTTTTGCAACGCTTAATTAATCTATCCATTTCACTTTTACGTTTTAAACCAATATTTTCTCTCAACTTTTTCTGTTCATTTCTATGAGATGTAGCATTTTCAAGACTTCTTTTTGCGCTGTTTACCATTTCATGGGCAATTTTTATACCCATCATGTCTTCCTTAATAATGGCACTTTGCATGGATTTTGCTGCTTCATCGAGCATTCTCTGAGCAAGCTGAAACTCAAGATCTGCATTTTTTTCATCATTCTTTAGACTTTTTTCCTGTTGATCTAAATTTTTATTTTGATTTTCAACTTTTTCAAGCATTTCTTTCTGCTCTTTTTCTTTATTCATTAGTTCTTGCTCATGAATATAATTTTTTCTTTTTTCTTCGTCTTCTTCAGCTTTTCTTTTTTTATATATTTTATGAGCATTTTGAACAGCTTGAACAAAGTCTTTGGAGAGTGCATCAACATTATATGCTCCTCTGCAACTTCTTGCATATTCTTTTGATATTCTCAAAGCCATTAATGTTTCATCATTTAGATTTACTCTCTCAGGAGTTAATGTATTTTTGTTATCAGATAAACTTCGCTCAGCACTGGCATTTCCATTCTGAATTGTTAAACAGCTCTTAACAACTTTACTGAGATACCCATACTTTGTTTTTCCATATTCATTGTTACTTTCAAAAACTTTAGCCCAATAATGGTCTACTCTTTTTAGTTTTTTTGTATCAAAATCTATATACCAGTCTTTTGATATATTAGCTGCTTGGTATAATTTCCATTCATCTTTCACAAATGATACCTGTACAAAAATTAAGATAAAATTGTTATGGAGAAAGTGTTAACATTTAAAATTAAAGGAAAATTTAATTATATTAAAATTAAAATAGTTCGTTAACTAATAATTTACAAACAAAAATTTCTGATTTGTAAATTAAAATAATAATTAGTAAATTTTGAAAATGTTAAATAATATATTTATATGGTTAATGTACTCTGCTATTTTAATTATATAGTAGATTATGTTAACAATATAAATACTTATACTATTTAAAATTTTCAAAATTTACTTATTATTAGTTTAATTTACAAATCAGAAATTATGTTTATATATATATATATATATATATATATATATATATATATATATATATATATATATATATATATATATATATATATATATATATATATATATATATATATATATATATATATATATATATATATATATATATATATATATGTATATATATATATATATATATATATATATATATATATATATATACATATATATATATATATATATATATATATATATATATATATATATATATATATATATATATATATATATACATATATAT